AAACTGAATAGGACGAACTCGACTTCTCCTCCTCCCAACTACACTGCCCACACACGGAGCCCTTTCTGATTATGGCAAAAGAATAACAACAACACCATTGTGTTTGTTGGTTTCACTAATGGGAGAAGCTGGAGAACATCATTCTCCCCCCCAGTCATGAGCCCCTGTCCAAGTGTTAATGCCTTTGAGAGGGTGCGTGTCTTTCACTATATCCCCCCCCGCAACAAACTTACACCTATTCCCTGAGGACAAGTGTTTTGTTAACGCTTAGTGTTGCCTACCTCAGTGCTTGTCTCCCTTCTCCTATCCCAGTCTCCCTGATTGTGTGAGGGCTGTCCAGATTTTTTTTTCTATTTTTTTTATTCCAGCTGAATCGTATTTTACATTTTCATTTTTTTATGTGTTAATGTGTTTCTTCTGTGAATTTTTGCTGTTGAGTCATGCAGATGCGATCATAGAAGGAGCAGCTGTTCTCCCACACAAGGCTGAGCTTTGCAGGTGTGAAGGGAGTTTTAATAAATAAAAAAATGCAATGTAAAAATCTGAAATGACAGGGGAGTTAAGTTACTCATGATTTAATTTTCTTACCCCATTGTAGTTCCACTTTTTTTTCCGATTGTGACTCTGCTCTTGATCTCTGTGAAAGTGTGACAGCTGAGCCTCCTTGTTGCTGTTTTCTCCCTGTTTTTTTTGAGGCGTGTACTCACCAAGATTGAGCGAGAGACAACAAACAAAGGTTCACTTGTTCTGGTTTGGATGATGGCAACATTGGAGCCCATCCCAGTAACATATGGACACAGGGCATGGTTGAGAGCACACAAATGCTACTCTCTGTGGACCTTGTGCCAGCCTATGGCACGCAGAATCAATGGGCAATTTAGAGCAGGAGAGCAGGCATGCCCGCAACACTACATGGCATGAGCGTAGAGGATACCGAGACAGAGGAACACACTGTACATACAGCGCGGAGCTCCCTTTTGGAAAGGGGTTAGATAAATTGCAGAACAAAGATACCATTCAGTATGATTCTGTCTTTGTTTAGTCCATTACATTGCCTTCTATGAATTGCGATTTCCTATTTGCATGTCTGAAAGTGTATTTCACCTTATGGGCAAAATCAGCACTGTACAACTTCTGAAGAGAAAGTCTGTTCTGCAGCTTCAACTCGCTCTGCAACTAGAGTAAAGTGTAAGGTGTCCATATGTTAGCCTTGGGTCCCCTGGTCTAATTGACTTCGACAGACTGCTAATTTGTTGATACCAGAGAGGGAATGATGTGCCTGTCTATCTCTAAATTGGTGTTTACACATGGACCTCACACAGAGCAAAGCACTACCAGCCTGCTGCCTGCAAACAGCACTTGACCTAAAACAGATTACATTGTGTTTTATTATAGCTAATTTGTTATGTAAATAATCCTGCTAATTTCTTTTGGATGAAGTCTATGTATACCTTTGCATAATCACCCCAAGTCAGGCTTTGAGGCGCTTATTTGGTTTCATTCATTTTTTGCTTTGAAATTTGTCAAGCGTGGGTATCGTAATTTGATTTTAAGTGTTTGTGAACTTGGTAAGTAGGCAGAGAATGAGATGATCTTTTTGTTTATTTCTGTATACAGAAAGGGAGGTCAGACTGTAGGCTTGACAAGTCTGTACAAAAGGCGACTGAATAAAAAATGTTGCAATTGTATAGAAAATTTAAGCATGTTGAGTATTTCAGGAAAAGACAAAAACAACTTTTAGACCTTTGTTAGAATTCACTTTTATGAATGGGATCATGCAATCTCCAGTGGGAGAACAAGGAGGTAAGTGACATCACTAGTTGCTGCTGAAAATGTGGAGTCGGGTGATGCAGATGCAATTGTGGAGTTGTTGAAGACTTCAAACTGAAAGAAATAAAAACTAAAACTAAATAAGAACACCCCAAACATATCCACTGTAGAAAATTAACAGAGTCCATGGCATGAACATTAAGCTTTTCATGTATGTAGTGAACAAATTATACGTCATATATATCTTATAACTATCTTTAAATCTTGTGAGTACTTGCTTTATATATATCACATTGGCTAATTTCATGTAGTTAAATGGGAGCATAATGTTAGACATCATATACACATATTTACTGAGCTGATATATACAAGCCTAACACTGAAATAAATATATAAAAGTCCAGTTTAAAGGGTAATTTGAACTCAGTGAGATCATTTGAAAGCATCTTGCGTAGTTTTTCTAAATTCTCAGTGTCGTCATATTCAGGAATTTATAACAAAGATTTGAAAATGAATCTCACAATCTAAACTCTCCCTTCTTCATAGTGTAATATTTATCATGCTGCTATCACCAAATGTCCAGCTAACCCTAAACTATATGTTTGCTTGCGTAGTGAGTGTGAAGTGAGAGGTAAAAGCAAACAGCAAGCCGTTCTAATCAGGCGTATGCCCTTGTTGCGTGTGGTCTCCAGATTTTCTCCACCAACAATACAGAATGTGGACGTCTCCTGGAGGAGATCAAGTGTGCTCGCTGCTCCCCCAATGCCCAGGTGTTGTTCCACTCCTTGGACATGGATAAGATGCCACACAGGGAGCCAGACCTGCCACGGCTCTGCCAGAACTTCTGCCGCGAGTTCTACTACACCTGCAGGGGGCACATACCAGGTAATTACACAGATAATAATAGCCATTATTATAACTTTAATGTTGCCAGTGTGGTTACCTGATGGTATCCAAGTAAACATACACAGTGGAAAAGATTAAGTTAAAGTAAGCATGTGCTATATTTGGTCATTTGTAATTCTCATAAATTCAAATTGATGCGAACATGTTGATTTTGATTTATTAAAAAAAAAAAAATCAAACCCAGCCACACTTCTCATTGAGACTCAGCTTTCACATGCATGTGCAGCTGGAAGATTTTTGGACTTATGCAAGAAGTGGTGCGTCAATAGTCTGGTCTGTGGATATTTATTTATTCAGCTCTTACCTCATCTGACCTCACCCCGATTTGCTGTTGCTTGTCTCACCCATTTTTCTTGCTTTCTACCTCGTTTCTTAATGCATCAGTAAAATCACTTGCCACACTCTGGCTGTACGGACCCAGCGCCTGATTAGTGTGCAGGCTGGCCTAGCACATTTGAGTAATCAAATTTGGAGAGTGATTTTTGTGCTTCTTATGACACAGTATCGAGTCTAGCTGTGTTTATGTCATCAGGTGCCGATATTGTTGTTCTCACGTCTCTGTTAGGTCTGTTGGGATCATGCAGGGTTATTTTAATCAGCAGAAATTTGCAATAAATTAACTTTCTGAAGCCCTTGAAGGTAGTAACAATATGCAGACTTGAGACAGTTCGTGACATGTGAATGGAAAATATTAGATATGCAAAGGTGGGTGTGAAAACAAATTTCATGAATGAATCCAGCCGGCCTGACCTGTGTTCCAGAAAACTTGACTGACTGGAGAAAAGTGAACTATTTTATAACCTGTTCCTGGATACAACTTGCTAGACTGAACTGCTGGAGTTGATTCTGTATTTGGGATGCATATGCACCCTAGCTGTGGTCTAGACATGACTGCTGGGTGCTTTGCCTTCCTCAGACATAAACTGTCAACTAAAAAAACTCTCTCATGCTCTGCCATTAAACTGTTTTCATTTGGGTAGTAGGTTAACATGATTTGTAAACATAGCTGAAGTGTTGCTGTACTGGCCTCTGTCGTTCCTGACTATTAGATGGCAGAAACACAAAAAAACAAAAAAGCCATTGATGCAACAGTTTCCTATATGTGTAATGTACTGTTAAATGGGACGCCTCTATCACTGAAGCATTTTCTTCTCAGAAGATCACAGGTACCTTCAGAGTGCACACCACACAAGATCAAACACTTCTTGACTGTCTCTTCTCCTACAGCCAAGTCTTCTTCCAGTCTCGGTCGCCACAAACTGATTAGATCTGCTAAGATTTGCAAACAGAGAACAGTTTCAAACACACTTGTCTGCAATCCACCCACATGATACGCTGCAGCTCAAGTCAAATATCAAACACATACATTCCATCGGAGTCCTTGCTCATCTGCATTTAATGGCCTACCGTAGTATCATGTACAACAATTCAACTACAACTGATGTTGGCGAGACGGACTCTACAGAGCAAAGGCAAAGAAGAAGAAGTCTGACATTGTCAGAGTTACATTGTTTCCTTATGAACTGATAGACATATGGGCTCAGAGAGTCAAACCAGAAAACCTCAAGAGAAGAATCCAGACATGACTCCCACCCCGTCCCCCCACTGTAGGCTCCTCCCTGTACACCCCCCATCAGCCCCCACAGATCAGCATATGTGGTGACGAATGACACATTTATTTTTCTACAAAGGTTGTGTGTATGTAAAACTGCTGAAGTGCATCAAGATGTCAAGTACTTTGGGTGGGCCACCCAGGTTGCCTTGGAAGATAACCAGATGGAAGTATAACTTTAGCAGTGGGGAGCCAGGAATATGGACAGAGTTCTGTCTCTCACTCTGTGTGTCTTTGCCTTCACTCCCTTGTTCTCTCACTTCTTTTCTCCTTTGGTTTGTTTCCTGCCTTTTTTTTTAATGTTAACTCTTTTACAGTATCTTTTGTTAGTGCACACCCTGCAATGAAGGTAGAAGACATTGTCAAGCATACAAGGAGGTATTGGCGATTCCTGAAAATCATCTCCAAACTACAGACAGATTAATTTGATTGAATGATGTACAATATGAACAATGCTTTTCTTAGGCATTTGCATAAATGGTAACAATTAAGTTGGAATTTTTGAATGTGCAATTCCTTTTTTTTATTGTACCTGAATATTGTAATGGGAGGCAGCAAAAGTGAACATAACCACAAACCTTGCCTATCAGTATCACCTGTTTTGCTAATACAAAATCACCAGTCACAGGTATTAAATTGAAACAGTAGCCTTTACTGCACCCATAACTGTCGTTCTGCACCCATGAAACTTCCTACTAGTCCTTGATTAGCCCATGTACCCCTTTTCTCCATAAAGCTATTTACTGCCTTGACTCTCACTTCTGCCTGGGGGCCTCCCACCTTCTCCATACTTCTCTTATGTCCTCCTCCACTCATCCCCGCACCCTCTCCATTCGATGTCCCCAACCAGCATGGTTAAGATAACTGCAGACACTAGAGTGTGGGTGGTATAGTCAGAGCTGTGTGTGTGTTTCTACGTGTGTTTGATCTTCATGTTATGTTTAGATGTTTGAGGGGATATCCTATCACCTCCAGTATTTGGTGCGGTCAACCCTTGCGGTGTGGGGCACAGGGAGTAGATGAAAGGAGGGACAGGGAGAGTCCTGTTTGTGTTTTTACCACTGGTGTATTTGCTTTCCTCTGTCCTCTGAGGGATTGACTAAAGGAAACAATATTGGTAAGATTGTTTTTAGGTCGCTAAGGGCCCCGAAGACCCACTGCGCACTCTGCTTATTGCCGGGAATAATGTTGTGACTGCACTGGCTCGAGGGGCAGCTCTGTGTGACTCCTGTGTTTATGCAGATTACCCTCTCCTCTGGCACTAAGTCGTTTTAGGTAAACTAGCAGGCCAAAGGGAAATAAGGAATGATGTGATGTCAGTTTTACCTTGAACTCATGGGCAGAATTTATGGAAATACAATCAGTCAGCATTTCGGAACATCATGTCTTTGTTTGGCAATTCAAGTGATGAAAAGCTCCCACCCTGAAAACAATTTTGTTTATTCAGTCACATGCCATATTAAACAGGTGGACTTTTTCATTTCACAGGCTATGCCCATGTGCAGCTCTGTAATGCAAAACAGCCAGAACTTTTTGAAGAGTAAAACAAGTAATTTGGTTGTGTTTTTTTGTTTGTTTGTTTGTTTTTATTTGATCAAAGAACATTTTAGGATACCTGTGACTGGCAAGAAACTGAAGGAATAACATTTTTAACTCCAGCTAAGTGAATGAACACAGTTTGAAAATTGGAAACTGCCATCCAGCATCACCAGATTAGTTAACCGTTAAATGTGTTGATTTTAAGAAATAATGATGGGAAAAGTTGTAAAAATGTAGTTTTAGAAGAGTTTTGTAATTTGGTAACTTTTTTGACATTTGTTTTCAAATTATTTTTTTCTGTATCTATAGTGTTGCAGAATATATTCAAGGGGGTATATGTGTGATTCATGAAATTAATTTGGTTCCCATAATTCACTGCGATGGAGACATGTTGTTTCTGGTATAGAGTCAGATGCTTTTGGCAAGGGTTTACCTAGTTAATAATTCTAGTAATCATATATTTGGCTTTCTTTGTGTCTCACATTTTTCAAAATGATTGAACTCCTTGGTGGAGCTTTTTGGAGTCTTCGTTGGGATGCAGTGGGTTTTTTTTCTTTTTTTCCCTAGAAATAGCTTTCTTAAGACCACTTCTGTGTATGTCACAACCTAGTCAACCATCAAATGATCTATGAATCAGTTGAAGAATTATATTTTTAGTGCCAAACAGACAAAATTATAGTCCTCATCATGCCAGTTCTTGTACTAGGTTTATTTCAGATTTTTTTCATGTACAACGGCTGAGATGTGTACTTCCTCAGCAAGCTTGATGAATTTTGCTGCCACTTGCAATGTGTTGCTGTTCATTTCCAGTAAGCTTTCATTTAGTGTACATCGACAGCGCACACTGGGTTTAACTATCTAAAGCAGTTATAATTAAAGGATCATTCAGCTGTTGCAAGTGCAGCCTCATTATTGCATGGTGTTGAACCAACTGAATAGAAAGACAGTATCTTCTACTAGGACTAAGGCATGAGCATTATTTCATGAATAAAAATAATGACAAGGTAAACTAAAATTTAGAATGCAGTCATTCTTCTTTCCGGAAGAGGTATAGTTCACTGTAGAGCCCTTTCTAATCTGTGATCCATTTGGTTTGGCCCAGTTTGCTTTCACTTGTTCTTTTCAGCTCAGTCTAGCCAGGATTTGTTTTGGCTCGTCAAGTAAAACTCCAACTCTCCCCGACATACTAGCACATCACATCATTTCTCATCACATCTCTCTTCTTCTGCCTCCATTTACAATCTCATCTTCTCTTGCATAATAGCCACAATACATTATAGGCAAACCAAAGCAAGCAGGCCAGACGAGCCAAGTATAAGAAGCCATGCAGTATCTAGTGAGTGTATGACTCCATATCTCGGTATCTGTTGTGTTTTCTAGAACTGTTCCAAGCCGATGTGGATGAGTTCTGCCAATACTATGGGAGGAGAGATGCCAGTTTGTGTTTTCCAGATTTTCAACGAAAGCAATCACATCGTCAGGATTCTAACTACTTGGATGATGAGAAAATAGAAGAAATCAGCAGGTATGTAGTCTGACTTTTACAGTGTTTTACTGCATTGATTGCGTGATACTATGGAAGCTCTAAAGTAATTTTTAAAATAAGTTTTGACAGTGCCATGTGTTTTAACAAAATTAGCTTCTTGGGTTTTTTTCTATACCTATGAGAAGCAGGCATAGCTTTGGAACATGTTTTGGGTTCACTGGTCCATTTTGACATGGTCCATACTTTCAAACTGACATGCCATGCAATTTCTCCTGTAATCCTAAAGTTTGTCCAGACTGCTTTTGCTCAGCTTTGCTAACATAATGAAAATGCTTATCCTGCGTCATTCTGTTTTCCTCCCTCACTGCAAAGGTCTGTACATCACAGAGAGCTTTGCCCTTTAGTCCATGGGGGGATGCCTTTCATCTCAGTTTTCCCTAGGGCAGAAAGGCCAGAGACTAGGCACCTGAACAGCAGCAACCAACTTTCCGTCAAATAACTTCCGACAGTTACTGAGTGAAGGGCTTAAATTGTCTCTTCTGTCTCATATCCTCTGAGAAGTGTAAGCACATAAATGACAGTGAACAGGCTCCATTACTTTAAAAGAGTGGGAGAAAGAGCCAGAATTAAGTCAGCTGAGCTATCGACTGAGAATATGAGCTTCATTTTGGTGATTTAAGGCACAGAGCTTAAATGCCCTGTGTTCCTTGCACAATGCAGTGTGGCAATTGTGCACTTTTATGGTATAGGCAAAAAAAATAGTCATACATGTTGTCACTGGGTGGTGTGGATGATTATGGACTGATTTTTGCCATAGCACTTCATATTGACCTCTCTTATGTAGATTAACTTAAGTAGTCATGTCCACAGCCTGGAAATCTGCAGGGGTTCTTGCCCTCGTCTCACACTGGCACATTTGAGGGTAAATGTAGATGGATGAGGTTGAACTTACTGGGTTTTCTTCTTTCAAAGAGCCAGATCTGACACACACAATTATTGCCCAGAAAAATCAATGTTTTGAATAAAGATGGGCAATGGCATTTTTCTTAGAATATTTTATTATTCTGAGTGTCATGAATTGCAGATAGAGTGCTCAAGTGCAGATGCCTGGAGGCAGGCAGGTTAAACAGAAAATCTATCTTTATTAGGTGGACGTGATGTTCAATAATCAAATAATGAAGTCCACGAACTGAGACACAACAAATACAGGGAAACACACTAGGAGAGTAAACAGGTTATAAAATGAAATAAAGTTAAACCAGGAGTAAACCCTCAACCTATAATCAGACAACTAAGAACATAAACTCGCAAAGAAACCAAATAAAATGTCTAAGAACAAAGAGTACAAAGCTTAAAAAAAACCCTCAGAGCTCCAAGACCCAGGATCATGACAGTCAATAAAATATGAAAGTGCAGCTGATTTAGTTTTGCTTTGCATGTAAATGGATTTAGTAGTTATCAGCTAGGACACCTTTTAAATACCTACAGCAATAATTGTTTTTAATCATTGTCCAGGTAATGTATACTGTTGCCGGATATAGTGTATTATTCTTTTAGTTTATGTATGGAAAAACCCTCAACATTTGAAGCCTACGGCGTAAAGCTATGGAGGTTTCACTGCTTTCAGGTCTGTTTGTCCCAGTAGAGGTAAGGGTGACTGCAGATCTGTTCAGTGTGATCACCTTTGGCCTGTGATCAGACATTTATAGACCATAATAGGTCATGATTATGAAAATGATGTGGATCAGTGAACCATAGCTCTTGGTGGTATTTGCATTTCTTTTAGATTATGTTCTGATAAAATGACAAGATATCTTTTTGTGAGAAAAATGTTCCTGTAGAGTCAATGCCAAGATTCACTGAACTTGTTGAGGTGGCAGGTGGTTGCCAAATATCTTATAAAGACCCTGGTATGTTTTGGGGGTTATTTTGTTTTTCTCTTTCATCTGTACTGCTACCTGAAAGTCTTCCTGTTCTGTCTTATTGCTGGATTTACTGACATAGTCATTCTCTGTTCCTGTTCATATCTGGCATTAAAATGTGTCTTAGATTATTTGTTCATTGCTGAATAAATCTAAGTATAGAGATAGTATAGTACAGTAGAGTATTGAATGCACCCATGAAGCAGTCACATTGAGTCAGTCAGTCAGTCCATTATTTCTGGTGGTCTGCACAGCAAATGGCATCAGTTCTTTTAGTAGTACTCTAGTGATTTGCCTCTCCCTAGTGAAAAACAGCACTTTGGCAGAGTGAATTGAGTTGTTTACCTGCAGCTATCATTAACCATTTGTTTTGAATAATACTGTTGTGCAAGGAAAAATAAAACACTTTATAGTGTTTGACCTTGCTTAGCTATGGTTCAGCTCATGTGCTCAAAACTGGTCAGTCAGGGTGGTGGTTCTGGATTGGAATTTAGAGATAATTGTTGGTAACAAGTAAGTTCCAGTAATTTAGTAGTCCGTTTTTCTCTCTGGTTGCAAGCAGAATTGAGTTTGCAAACTTGAGCCCATGCAGGATTCTAACATTTGGTCTTAGCAAGCGGAAATAATGTAGAGTACTTGTTTGTTTGCCTGTAAAGTGGGAGAGTGAGATCCGGTCAAAAGTGGTCACTCGATACGTATGCTAATGCCAAGTGTGAAATGACGCACTTAGCACGGTCCGTTTATGATCGGATCACCCAAGACGCATGTTGATGGCAAATATGAACAGGGCCCTTGACATTTTGTATCTTCCTTGTTACCCAGGAAACACAAACACAACTGCTACTGTGCCCAGGAGGTGTTGAGTGGTCTAAGGCAGCCGGTGGCTGTGGTGCACTGTGGAGATGGTTCCCAGCGGCTCTTTGTCCTTGAGAGGGAGGGAATTGTCAGGATACTCAACCATAACCTCGAGCTAATTAAGGAGCCTTTCTTGGACATCCACAAGATAGTGCAGAGCGGCTTGAAGGTAGGACCAACTTTGCCTCATACTGTTACCTGTGAATTATAGAGGTAATATGTTGAACTAGATAATCATAGTTGTAAAGAACAAGGGGAAAAGAAAGAAAGAAACATGGCTGAGAGTACATAAAATATTTCTGCTACATTTCTAGAGTAAGGAAGTAATACAACACGTCTTCCCAACACAAAATGTTTTCACCTGTGTAATGGAATGTCTCCAGGCAAGGTAAATCCCTTGGCAGTCTTGCTTGCATACTATTAGTATTATATTATATGATTAGACCAAACAAGCAGTCATTCATTAATTGTGATTGTGCATTGCGCTATTACCTGCTAATTAAATGTACACAGTGCAAACATTAAGCAAACTGATAATTTCTGCTACCTCTCATTAGAATGGTTAATGGCTTTCTTAATCTCTCCCATATTGTTCCTTTAAGGGTTCCAATATTATAGGGTCTTATTTATATGACTACCACACGTGATAATGGGAATGACAGTTAAGTTTAAATTGTAACCTTGTTTATGCTTGTAGTTCAGTTAAACAAATAACTTCATATTAGAGGTCTGTGAAATCTTTTTTCCTCGTCCTGCACTCTTAGTGTAGTCATTGGGGTGTTATTAATACAAATAAAACCTGTAGACCTGAAAAGGCGGATCTATCCGCACCTCTGTAACATTTAACTTGTCTGTCTGACCATCTCTCTTGCCAGAAGAGGGAGGATGGCAGGCTAAACATATGTTCTACTTTTGTTTGGCTATCTGCCCTATGTGGGAAAAGTAAATATAGCCAAAGCAATAAAAAAAAAAAAGTGCACAGGAATTTTATTGTTTGTGTCTTTTGAACATGATACACTCTTTGGAAATAGGCTTGTTGTGTCCTTGAGTTGATGTATTCTCAAAAGTATGTGTGCCGTGCTACGCTGCTAGTTCTTGAAATGTCTTCTTTTTTATTTTTATAAATTCTCTATGGATATATCATTTCCAAAGACACTTAATCTTCTTGAGATTTATTTTTATATCCGTAGACCTTGGGTAATCACAGATTTTGAATTTGGTAATTGTTCAGGAATTGTTTAGATTGCATGAGGAGATGTGGTAGCTTAGATGTCTGTGGGGGGCACACTCCCAGACAGGAAGTTTATCCATCACGCATGCCTCTTGCTCCTCCACTGACAAGGTCCTCTGCTTACAAGGAGTCAAACGGAGCAGAGCATTTGAATATTAAGCTGCACCCTTTGGGATGCTCACCCCACTCTTCTCAGCTCTCTTATCTTAATTTACTCCAAACTAGTTGTGGATAAAGTCACTATTATGACAATTAGATGTGGCTCAATCCCCCTGCAAGCCCCAGGAGTCCTATTCTGAACTGTTGGCTGCCATAACGGTGCAATCCACTCCAAGGGAGGGCTAAGGTGTTTACTGGCAGAATCAACAGGATGGAGCTGCCTTTATACATAAAGAGGAACCCATGCTCTCAAGAGACAAGGCAGATAACGGGTTAATCATCAACCTCATGCACATGCTTTGATTGTAATGTTCTATGTTTCCTCTTACTCTTCTGTCCCCCTCCTTCCATGGATCCCTCGGTGCCAATTTAGCTGAACTGCACAAAAACAATACTACACTCTGGTGTGGGCTTCTACATGGCTGTGGGTGTTCTTAGAAATTCAGTTTGCTTTTAAAGTCATACTGTCCATTTATATATTCATGTTACAAACTTTCAGTTGATTATGTAACTCAGCGGGATCCTGTCTGCAGAAATCTATAATTGTTAAAATAATTTAAGCCCTATTTTGGACTTGTTGTTTGCAAAGAAACAATATAGCATGTCAAATCTGAGTAACTGTTGATGTTGTTTTTTCTTTTTTTGCCGGGGTTTGGGGGTTGTTTCTTAAATCTATTCTACATCCTTCAGGTTAAAAAGAATAGGGACCATTGGGTTTGTTATCAGCGCACAGTTCCAAAGCGATTATCTGTGATCGTGTGTGGTTATATTACTGTTTGTGGCATAGGTGCACATCAGTGAAGATAATATATACTGGGTTTACATCTCTTGCCTTTTTACATGATAGCTTTCCTCATCCAGATTTTAAAACAATAATTCACTATAAAAGAGCCCAGGTGAAAAACTCACATACCCGCAGTTCAGACCTGTAAACCATTAGAAACACTGGACACTATATTAAGCAATAAATTGGGACAAAAGGATGGCCCCATATGCTGCTCCAAGTTTGTTTTGTTGGGGGTTTTTTTTTGTTTGTTTTAATCTGTTACTGGCATCAAATGAGCATATTCTTGATTGTTTTAATATGTTACATTTGTATTGTTTTTAATTGAATATAGGTTTTAAGTTAATTATACAAAGATTTATTTTTATCCTCTCTATGTTTTACATAGCCTATAGGGCTGGGCGATTTGCTCTATAGTTAAATCATACTGTCTTTCTCCTGTTGGATTGCAAAGCATTGCTGCCAGGAAAGGATGGCAGAGGAGGTTAACATGCACCAATTAGGGTTGTACTCCCTAAAATACAATGTGTGGCCTAAATTCAGAAAACTCATTACACACTGGTGAGAGAGAAACACACACACTGAGAATTTATTTCTCAAATGTCAGTTCCAATTTTTTACACCTGTAGCTCTACTAACTCATCCACTCTGTTTAAAATGCCTCACCTAGTTCCCCTTCACTCATCACCGTTTTCTCCCCACTTTGGTGGACCAAAAAGTTACATAGAGGAAGTATAGTCACATTACGCTACAGTTTAAAAATCAAAACAGCTGCTATAAGTATCCTCCAGATGTGACATGAAACTATGGCAAGGCAGATTTAATTTATTATGAATCACATAATAATAATAATAATAATAATAATAATAATAATAATAATAATAATAATATTTATTTAATGCATCAGTTGGAAATAAGCTAAAAATAGCCTTGATTGGTGAGTTGGCAAGCTACCGTTGATCTTTTGAACTTCATTCCCCAGCATTAGTATCTATTGGGGCAAACTTAATATCTCCAAAAGTTGATGGTGTTCATCTGGATGTAGCGTTTTGTGGGAGAAACATTTCGTCACTCGATTGAGAATGCATCAAGACAGCAAACTTAATAGTTTATTTTAGGTTATATAGCTTATTTTTGCAAACATGGTTATGTGTTAGCCTGTTTATTTGCCAGTAACATTGAACCACAGGTGTATTTCCAGTTGCGTACTTTTCATGATTTATGGAAAGCAATGCTTGCAGCATACAAAGATTACATAAAATTTTATAGTGCTTTTACAAACATACATTTGAACACTATTAAACCTGTCAGGAACCACAAATATCCTTGAACGTGTTTGGAATTGCTCTCAAAGCAACCTATGAAGATGCAATCAGAAACGGTGTGCTAAAAAACTTTAGAAATGCTACTTGAGAGTACAATGCATGATAATAACAGTGTACAGATATGGGTGACCAGCATCCCAGAGCTAACAGTAGTCCTATGAATCACTATGCATGTGGGTGAGTGGGCCTCTCATAAAATATTTCCCTATTCAGCCAAATGATTCAGAGCATTGGTGCTGTCCTTGGCATCAGAAGATCAGAGATGATGGAGTAAAATAAAGCAGTATGTAGTGTTGGCTGCTCTTGTTCAGGTTGTAGTTCTACCTTAAGCTTTGCCCATGGTGGAGAGGGCAGAAGTTGAGCTATATAAAGGAAGTGTTTGTAGTGGAGTGAAACAGAGTGTTAAGGAAAATTAAAACTGTCCACTGCAGCCATGAATTTCTCATTCATGCGTCCTTGATCTTTGTTGGGGTTTGTTTCCCACTTCTTCCTATTTGTGCTTATTCCTTTTCCTGTTTAAGTAAACTTTTTAACCAATCAGCATATTACAAACAAGTGATAGTGTGCACAAAGGTGTATCTCTGTAGCCACTGCGCTGATCGAGATCCTATAATCCTTCCTTCTCTGTAGCTGAACAGCTATGCAAGTGGACACCACAGTACTATAAAAACAGCTTTGCACATAAATGCTGCAGTGCTCATATAAATATTGTTGGCTTTAAAAAAAAAAAATCATCATCTTTGTGGTTGATGATGGATTATATCTCGTTCTTGGTTAGTTGGAGTGGAATTTGTGCATGGCTTCTCGATGGTCCAAGAATTTAAGTATCACCAGCTGAAGGCATTGCAGTGGAAACTTGACTGTGTGATTCTTATTGCACAAGAAAAAAAGAGACAGCAAAAAAACTGTGTAGGTTGTTTGTGAGGGAGGTACGGGCATACATGCTGCAGGTTGTCTTTGAGTGAAGGGTGTAGAGGGTGTTTTTGTTCCAATCAACTCTAATGGAATGTCTTTTTGTGGAGTGAGGATCAAAAGGTTCAGGGTTATAATGCATGGACCAACACATGTGTCACTGATGCTCAGTGACAGCTATCCCTGCAGAATTGGAAATTGCTGCATTTCTTGTGACATTTTCTTCATAATTCTGTGAAAATAATCACTGAGAGATATCAGCTGGTTGTTATCCCTGCACCTCACATTCCCAGGTTTATTTGGAATGATGCCACACGTTCCATAGAGCCAAACCCAGAGCTCCAGAGAACAGTGTTTGAGGGAAAAGTGAAATGCAGGGACAGGTATTTGTGAAAAATGAAGAAATAATACCTGGTGAGAGATCAGAAGCCCTCTACTTTGCTTTGGAAGAATGATGGTAGTCATATAAAAGACAAAGAGATTCATGGAAAAATGTGTTTTAAGTTGACACAATGTGCATGGTGATTTGTACAATTTGACAGAGTCACTACAACAATCAGGGAGCTTTGAAGTATAGGTGCAGCATCTATAACTACGAGAGTCATCCCTTTATATAGATGGAAAAACATGGCAGAAACATGTAGCTCCTCCTGCATTCAGCTACACACGTGGTATCACTCTAGTCAATGTACTTGAATATCTTTATATGTAGGTGCATTAGAGAACCCTAAAAACTTCAGAATTGGCTTTACACCTAACAATATGCACAAAAATGCAGTTTGTACATTCTTTAAATGAGGTTGTTTATATAGTGTGTAAGTTTTTGAACCATGCCAAAAATATCTTACCTACTGCAGCTTTGGCAGCAGTTTTAACATGATCACTGCTCACGAGTCCCAGTTTGGCACTTTGTCTTCTTTTAATCAAGCTATCTCCATGGACCGGCTTACAGTGAAAGGCTCGCTGATGCAGTGTTTGTTTCTTATGGCTCTGGTGCTAGCTCTGCTGTCTGCCTGCTGCTGAAGGAGCTAGTCATTAGCAAGGGAGCTAATATTTCAGCCCATTTACCACTGTGTACCTTGGTGGTCCCCCTTTGGCTCCGGATCTAGGCCTCTTTGGAATCACAGCTTTTGACCCACTCCCTATGGTGAGTTTATTTTGGGGATGTGGGTCACTGCATCTCTCAATCTAACATATGGATCCAAAATTTCCATCAAGAAACATTTTGACACAGGATACTCACTGTGTCTCCAAGTAAATAAAGAGTGCTGCATCCACTCCCATATAACTCTTGTTTTTATTTGACTTCAATGGTCTGACATTTAGTAGTACTCATAAATTTTTGCAGAGGAACCCTGCCTTTTGGGGTGGAGACTTATTTGTAAACCTTCACAGTATTTCACTTTATATTCAGATTGATAGACCTCCTGTGGCTTATCCTGTGGGTCTCTGTTTTTCCTCATTGGTACTTTGAGTAATACCTTGGCAAAGAGTCATCTTTTTACATGTGTATGGAGCCTGTGTTTGGACTGCACTGGGTCCAGTGCAGTGTGAACCGAACTAGTAGATCCAGTATACCAGTTTATGTTTTTCTTGTCCTGTTAAATAAACTACACCTATCCAGAAAAGTGCCACTATAGTGCAAACAAATATTTATATGTATATATTTTTTCTGATTTTCTTTCTCATTGTTACTGTTTTGAGAATGAATACTTGAGGAATATGAGTGCAATGTCAGTGCTTTTGTAGTAACTGCAGACCTTTTTAAAGCTATTATTGATAGTAAATGAAACGCTGTTATATACTTGCTTAAGGATCACTTTAAAAAATGTTCTTAACACCTGAAAATTCTGCTCATTCTGTAGTCAAGAAGAAATACAGGGAGAGAGTAAAACATTAAAAAAAAAGCCAACCTGACTTTCCTTGCCTGGGGAATGAAATGCTATAGCTGATTACTACAGCTAACTATGACGGGAGGACCACCAAGGTAGTGACAACTGATGTAGCTGCCTCCAGGGTTAGACAAAGGTTTACATATTACACAAGCAATTTAGATGTTTTCTAAACATGTTGCCAAGACAGTGGGAGTTGGCAGCTCTTTCCTTGTTTAGGTTGTCTTTTTTTTCCTCTTTTACTCTACTCTAGCCCT